CCTCCCCTCCCCTCCCCTCCAGTCTCCTCTCCTATCCTATCCTCTCCTTTCTTTCCCTTTTTAAGCATCCCCATTGAATAAACCAAAGAATACCTGTTCTACATTTTCACCTCATCACTAGCAGAAAGCAGAATGAGAGACAGAGGGTTGCCAGCATATGGATCAGCTGCAGGCTCACTGGTATGATTTTGACCACCCTGCCTGTACTGTTTTCCATTGTAGTTTCAAAGGTGGGGTTTATCCTGAAGAGAAGCCTCATGCTGAAACAGGATTCCTGGGAGTTCATGGTCATTTCCCTTCGGTGGGCTAGCCAGCACCATATACACTCCTACAAGGACTTACTTATCTTGGATTCTGTGAGAAGCAAGAACAACCCCTGTTCTTGAACACTCCTGGTCCAGTTTGCAATCTGAAGCTCTTTCCTTATGCTTTTATTATAGGCAAACAACTCCCCATATCCTGGATTATTGTTACACATTTAAAGATATTTGACAGACAATTGCTTAAAATACAAGAAATCACTATATCTACCTGGTTGTCCTGGCACACTCCTCATTATAATTATCCTCTAAACATCCGAGGAGTGACTCAGTAATACCTTATTTACTATGAGACGAGATACAGAGAATGACAAACTTTCTTTTTCAGTCTTTCTCTTTGTGTATATATTTGCCTCTCACCTGCTCAATTTTTTTGCTTCCATCTTGCATGTAGAATGCACAATACATATTAAATTTTAAACAAGCTCTATATGAGAGAGACAGAGAGATATACAGACAGACAGGCACACATACATACACGCATACATACACAGAGAGGAGGGGCGCGGGGAGATGGGAGAGCAGACTCTAGGAGTTCCTATGCACTGGGGATATATAATAAATAAATTGAATTCCTAATGGGCTGACTTTTTGTCATAGTGCACAACCTTCCCAAAAGGCAAGTTCATGACAGCTGATCCCTACTTGGTCTGGATCCATCTGTACTGCCATCCTCATTGGATCTGGCCACAAATACACACCATCATCACAAGAAGTTGTAGCAGAACAAAGCAGAATTCTCCTCTGGCTCTCCATGCTGCTTCTTCCTGTTCTCTTGCCCTAAAGTTTGGAGATACAGCTTCACATAGCTTTCGTCCTTCCAGCGCCTCAAAGCAGCCACCCTTCTTGGTCAAATTTCTAGATATTTTTCCATGGCTCCTTTCCAAAACTCTGTTTCTTTCCCTGGTGTCCCTCTGCTAGCCTCATACTGTCTGTCTGTCTCTAAAATCAACTTTTCTGTTCTTCCTGTGGAATTTGGAGGCCATTGGGGCTGGTGACTGAGTCATATTACTGTTGCATATGTGTTTGTGTTTCTTGATACTTGCTTTCTTGGTAGATTCATCTTTGTTTTCAAATAATCTTTGAGAAGTTTCACCAAGGCTCCTCTTGTCCTGATATTCCACAGTTTGGAAAACAGTGACACAGTCACACTTTGTATAGTGTTCGACACTTCATGAGCTAGGACTATAAACTCATTTGCCCACCTTACTCTCTGTTGGCTACATTCTTGGCTTTTGCCTCTGGCTGTTGTCATAGGGAAACAATGACATTGGCACCATCATTTTGGTTCTCTACATTGCATGATCATCGCTAGCCGTGTTGACTATGCACTGCCTGATTCACAGAAGGTACCAGGATGAAAAATGAATCCTCTCTCTGTGTGTGTACATGCACATGTATGTGCACATGTATGAGTGTATGAGTGCTGGTGTAGGAAAATGAAACATTTGGTAATTGTGTTCATGACATGTCAAAGAACAAGTAATGATACAGGGAAGGGCCCTAGAGAGCCAGAGCCCAGTTCTTCCTGCTGCAATAAATGCTGGATGAACCTCAGGAAATTTTAGACTTCTTCTCAGAGTCTGGGGCTCAGAAGAGGGGGAAGAAAGCCAATTTGACACATTCCGTTTCCTTGAGCTATTTGATACCCACAGACCCTTTCCGGGGCTACATGAGACATTGGCCATCTAAGCGAGTGATGAAGGGGCGGTACTTCATCACTCTGACTTTTCTCTGTGTCCTCTGAGGCTGAAAACATTTGTGGTTTGCTAAATGACTTTTCTGTGTGACCTTGGAGCTTTTATCCCTATGCTGGGCACTGCTGATATTTGTTCCCATGTGTTTCTTTCAGCTCATAGAAAGCTATAAGAACGGAGGCAGCTTGTTAATTCAGGGACCAGACCACTGTTCACTCCTTCACTACGCAGCTAAAACTGGCAATGGGGAGATTGTGAAGTACATCCTTGACCATGGTGAGTAGGCAACCTACCAGGGATTGCTTATCCAAAAAATTCTAGATAGCATTGTCTATGTTGACACTCAACCAGGAGATCTTCACAATGGGATACTCACCAGTTGTTTCTCTGACACTCACTGATGCAGGTGGGCCATCTTAACCAAGCAATTAAAATAAACAAGTTTTATAGCCAGATTTAGGAAGGGAAGGCTTTCAGGAAGTAATTAATTTAAAAATTAAGAAGCTCTAAAATTAGTTCATTACCGGGTGCTGTGGTAAATGCCTACAATCTCAGCACTCACCACTGAGCCATCTCTCTAGCCCCTGACTTCAATTAATTTAATTAATTAAAATCTTTATTAATAAAATACAGCCTAACATAGTTGTATTTATTTTGTAGAGCTCTTTATGAATTAGCTGTTTGGGATCAGCTATATTTGTGGTCGATTCTTCAGCAGATCCCTGGGTTTGCTCCACTTTTCTACTTTCTCATTTGTCTTTTCTCCCAACTCACATTTCACTCTCTAGAAAAATTTGTGGTGCTGCCATGTCCCATATGGCTGCCCGTCCTCTGCTCCTGGGGTGCATCCTAACTGGTCCTATCTGGTGGCTGGCTGGCCTACTCTCCCAGGCTGTGTACTAACTGGGCTTCCAGCTTGGTCTTAGATCATTCTCAAGATGGAGAGCTGACGGTTTAACATCTGTGAGCTCACTGGAAATATAATTACACATAAGGAACACAAACCACTCAGCTTCTCATGTTCTCAATGTGACTAAAGATAGAGAAGAGCCAGAGGGGGGCAGGGTTAAAGGAAAAAGTGCCTCTCTTGGGGGTGTTTAAGGGTGGATAAAGGAGAGTCTGTCTGTGAGACCCAAGTCCACAGAAAGCCTAGGGGACTTTCTCGGAGCATTGACGCTGCCTGCTTACCTCGCACAGCCACCAAGCCATCTCTCCAGCCCCCAAGCCTACTTCCTCTTAGCACAGACTCTTAGGCTGCAGGCAGCAATTAGATCAATGAGTACTCATTGCTTCTTTTATGAAACTGGGGACATTTGCATTTATCCACTCATTACTTCCCTCCTTCCTTCATTCTTTGGATAAATCCTCGTGGAGTGCCTAACAGGAATTGCCTGCTATAGGCTGACACACTCAGATATGCACTCAAAGAATGCATTCAGCATTTTCAAGCAATAGCAGGCTGGAAAAACAAAAACAAAAAAACAAAACACCACAATTAGTGTGCAAATAAATTCAACACAGTTGAATGCTTCATGTTTTAGGTCTGACTATGAAGCCACATGCAGAAAATACAGTTACCATTTTTCAAGCTTATATGATATGCCAGATGCCTGTACAGAACACACCACATAATTTCATCTTTGCAAGGACCTTGTAAGGAAGATATTAGGCCATCAATCATTTGAGATTCTCCTTCCTTTGCCGTTCTCACTATGAAGAATTTGTTTCAGCTCTTGGCCAGAGCTATGGTTCAAAGGATGGAAGGAGAGGCTCTGAATGTAGAAAAGTGGGCACTGGAGAACGGCTTCCCTGGTAGACTAGGTAGTTCCACTCCTGCCTGTTCTAGAAAGGTGAACTGTGGTGCTGTGTCTGTTGTAGACATTGTTTGTTCTTCTCTCCTGATCATCCACCTGCTACACTTCAGGGAAAGACTTGCAAATGAAATACTGGCAGATGTCTGCTACACACATATGCCATAGGTTTATTCTGTTTTCCCTGGTAATTTTTTCAAAAGGCTGATGAAGAGCTGAAGGAAATTTTGAATATTGCACATGGACATGAATTAAAGCCACACTCATCTGTGGGACATTTTCCTTTTAAGAAAAGTCCTCAGGATTTGCCCAATGTTCAGAAGGTGGCCATCTTATTCGAGCCAGAATCTTTCTACATAGACCTGGCTAGCCTGAGATTCTCTGGGCAGGCTGGCCTCAGTAGCAAGCCTCTTTCTTCTGTCTTCCAAGTACTGGGATAAGATGTGTTCTCTGTCACTCCCAGCTAAGCTGTGCATTTTGAAATCATAAACTGTCTTTGTAGAACCATTCTCCTCCCTGAAATGATGGGAAGCCCTCTTGTGCACAGTGTTCTTCGGGTCAGGGAGAGAAAACTGGAAAGTATTACCCTGGGCATACTCTGTCCTTTGTACTTTATGAGTTCTTTGTAGATTAACATCATCTCTTCTGACTTGGTGGTACTGGAGAATAACAGGGATGTTTATGTATGCTGAAAATACCTTGACATTTATGTATATGTGTATATGCACTCATCAGCTTGGATCACATCTCTCTAATAGCTTCAGATAATAGAAATCCCACAGGTTTTTCAAAGACCTTGTTATGAGGATGCCACCAGGGATGAACAATTAGACGTAATTTAGAGTCAACTGAAAGTCTTTATTCCAGCCAGCTGTGACTACACCTGGGTATTTGGGACCTACATGTTACATTTGGACCAATGGGACTTTTAAAGGCAAAAGCCACATCTTAGCATCTCACTCAGCAGCTGCAGCAAGAGGTTTGCACAAGCAAGCAGTTTAATAGAAGTTAAGTTAGCTGGGCTATGTTGTTCTCAGGTCCTAGAATAGAGTTGGGTAATTGTCCACAGGATTCTCCATCAAGAAGATGGAATTCTAGTTAAATCCAAAATGGCCTCAGCAAGACTATAAGATGGAGGAAGTCTGCACTGCTTGTCCTGTCTTCAGCCTTTACTGACAATGGTAATTAGGAATTTTGGGTTCTTTTCAAGGTACCTAAGTCACATTCTGCGTGGTCCCTTGAGTTGGCTCTCAGCTCACGGCATCCTTCTTGTCTAAGCTTCACTCTGCTTTGTCCCTTTATGAGATGCTTAGGGAGAGGAGAGTGACCCACAATCAGGAGGACACCTTCTGATCCAGAGTCCCGAGAGATGAGTTATCTCAAGCACCAGCAATACCATTTCCTTCAAAGGGCTCTTTTTAGATGGTCATGAGGTGTGGGCTGTGAGTGGGATGTGTAGTGTGTTCTGAGAAAGCCATAGGAGGCGTCTTCCATTGGACTTCTCTCAGACGTGCAAAACACTGCTTTCTTTTATTGAGGAGAAAAAAAAACTGGAATCTGGGCACTTCAAGGCCTGAAAAGCAAATGGGAGGGGGAAGAGAGGAAACAATTCCAGAGACGGGGCTGGCCGAGCTGTGGACACAAGGATTCCAGCAGGGACTCTCTCCGTGGTTCCAGCTTTTCAGCTCTTTTCAACCATCATTTTTACTGGCTGCCTCCCCTGAGTTCATCCCTCCAAGACTTTTGTGTGGTTTTCTTCCTTTACTACCCAGAGCATTTTGCTCTTTTGTTTTTATTCTCTCTGTGCCCACCCTGCTGCCCCCTACTGCTTCCTCAGATAGAAACCCCACTCATGCATTTCCTTTTTATTTCAATGGGTTATTTTGTCTTCTCTCTCTCTCTTTCTGACCCCAGTCTTTCTTTTCTGTTTTTTTTAACCCCCACTTTTTTTTCTGCCTCTGGTCCCAGAGAGAAAGGACTGCCATCCCGCTGAGACAGGATGACAGTGCTGTTAGAATTCCCGGTGCCAGCTCTCTCCACATCTGTGTAGCCTTTGTCCTGTGGCAGGGGAGGATTTGGAATGGTCTGCTGGCAGCGTCAGGGAGACTAATGGGAAATGAGGTCCGGGGAGGGAGTCCGTGGGGCAATGGAAGGAATAGCAGAGGGGATTTGGATGCATTGGTAGGAGGCAAATGAAAGAATGCATGCTATAAAAGGCCCATCATCTATAATGCATATGCGATGCAGATGATAATGTCGTGTGAACAGGAACTGGAGCGGCCAATGGAAGAGCTCACAGATGTAGTGCAGGGCAGCAGGACATAAGAAAGTTCCAGTCCTCACCACAGCATTCACCTTCTCACACTGAAAGATTTGTGACATTTTGCTGCGTTCTACATTCTTTAGACTTAGTCTGCATTGTAGACGTGTGTGTGTGTGTGTGTGTGTGTGTGTGTGTGTGTGTGTGTGTGCGCACATAGGTGCACACATATATAACAGGTACTTATACATGTATATGACATATATGTGTGCATGTATATGTACCTGTTATGGCTTGAATAATCAGTGTTCTTCACAGGCTCATGCATTTTCACATATATAATTATGTGGTCTGTAGTTGGTGGTTTTGGTTCGAGCAGGTGTGAGCCTTAGGAGGGAGAAGAGGTGAAGCTTGATGGTGAAAGGCCAGGCTTGTAGGACCACATGCCTCTGTCACCATGCTACTCCCCGCACCATGCCTTCCCAAACATGATCTGTTCTCTCTGAAATGTGAGCTCATAATATTGGTCCTCTCTTACATTGCTTCTGTTATGCATTTTGCCACAGAGACATGAAAAGAAACTAGCACTGTTCCTCGATTTTCAGACATGTCCCTATATCCTACAGCTTTTTGAATCCATGGTTCAGCTATGGGTCTTTCTCAGAAGGAAAAAAAAAAACATCTAATATTTATGGGATCCAAAATTGTTTTAAAGCATCACTCCCCATTTGATTTTTTGTTTGTTTATTTGTTTGTTTTGGGGAGCGGTTTCGAGACAGGGTTTCTCTGTGGCTTTGGAGGCTGTCCTGGAACTAGCTCTTGTAGACCAGGCTGGTCTTGAACTCACAGAGATCTGCCTGCCTCTGCCTCCTGAGTGCTCACCATTTGATTTTTTTTAAAAACTGATATTTGTGTTCCAGACACTTTTGAAAAAAGAATATAGTGACCCACTGTTACTAAAATGTTTTGTTCTAGATGTTAAATGTACATTCTTACAATTCTACACAGTAAATTCTCCCCATTGCACAGGGAGTTATGAGGCGCTATGAGGTGGCCAAACTCTTACAAGTGTGTGATACAGTTTCTGCCCTCTGTGTTCAAAGGGCTATGAACACAGGCATGGATAAGAAGCCACAAGACATGGCACCTGCAAGCTAGTGTCCCCTGTTGTGTTCCAGGGACAGTATGCACAGGATTCTGGAAGAAAGGTGAAGATTTCATAGAGAAATTGGCACTCTAGTCCTTCAATAAAGACTTCACACTTACTTTTTTGGTTACAGGATAGCTGTGTGAGAGAGTATACCCTAGAGATGAAAGGTGTTAAGTACTTTATGTTGCATTGATAAAACCTTGACAGGATAAAGAATCTTGGGGCTTACAATTCTAGATTAGAGTCCATCAGAGGTGAAACAAAGTAACGTGTGTCAGGCATAGAGGCTGCTACAAATAGCTGAGAGCTTGTATCTTCAACTTTGAGCATGCAGCAGAGAGGACAAACTGGAAGTTGCAGAGGCTTTTTAGATCTTGAAGTCTGCACTCACTGACTGCCTCCAGCAAACTTGTACCATCCGCCCCTCCCTGAACAACACCACAGGTGTTCCAATGCCTGAGACTAAGGGGGACATTCTCATTCATACCACCACAGATTCCTTCTGTTTAGTGGAAGAATTGTGAATTGTCTACTGACAGCTCAATGTTCTTATTTCACATTCCACGGGGAAAAGGGGATAGCATCCATAATGGGGATATTCATGTATATAAAACAATCCCAAGTCCGGCTCTCAACCACTGACACATTAGAAAAATACAGTTCTGTTTGTTTTTTTTTTTATCATCTTTCTCTCTTCTTTTATTAGTGAGACTCATATTGACAAAAAATATTAGGTGCTATTTTTTTAAATTCATTTTATTTTTTTTAAAGAAGCTGGTGTGGGTTTTGTTGATTATTTTTAATCTTTTTGGTTATCCATTCTGCAAGTTGTAATCAAGGTTACTGCATAGGTCAGCACAGGGTTAAAGCATAGCTCCCCACAGGTCAGTGCAGTACCAACCAGGAAGGAATGATGTCCTGAATTCAGGTGCATTTGGCCTTGACTCTTCTGGTGCCTTTGCCATGCAAATGTAATTCTTCAAGGCAGTGACTCTCAACCTTCCTAATGCTGCGACCCTTTAGTACAGTTCCTCATGTCATGGTGACCATAACATCATTTCCTTGCTACTTCATGACTGTGTTTTGCTGTTGTCGTGAATTGTAATGCAAATATCTGATAGGCGGGATGTCTGATATGTGATCCCCCAAAGGGGTCATGACACACAGGTTGAGAACCATTGCTGTAAGGATGGGTTCTGAAAATAACAAGTAAATGTGTATGGCACTCTTCTTTTATTCTCCCCTCATACATTACATCCTGACTGTAGTTTCCCCTCCCTCCACTCCTTCTACCCCCACACCTCCCTCTCTCCCAGACCTACTCCTCCTCCATTGCCCTTTAAAAAAAGCAGGTGTCCCAGAGATATCAACTGAATATGGCATAGCAAATTATAATAAGACTAGGCACAAACCCTCATATCAAGGCTGGGCAGGGCAACCCAGTAGGAGGAAAAGGGTCTGCATGCTTAAACACAGCTCCCTGCTCCCACCTGGAGTGATCTGTCTGCTGCCCTTCCCTCTCCCTCATTGGCTGTTTGCTTGCCAGTGTTTGAAATGTTCTTTAATCATCCAGCTGTCTATTTGATGAAGGATCGGAGACATTAGGTTAATTATATCAATCATTTTGGAGTCATTTGCTAACACTGAAGTGGAGTCCCTTTGGATGGGCTTAGGAAATGCCAGGTTGTAGCACCGGTGGCTGTTCCTCTTACCTCTGCCAGCTGCTGAGGATGAAAGGGACAGCTGAAGAACCCTGGGTAGCTGGAGGCATGCCCAAATCAGACTGGGTTATTATCGTGGGATAACTCAGAGCTATAGTTGTGCTCTAGGTCAGCACCATGAAGAACAAAGTCCTTCTTTTCCTTATCTCCATCTTTAGATTGTCAAACTATTACTGTATTAGCCCAATAAAAATGCTTCAGGGCTCCTTACCAGCATTAAGCCTTAGACCCAGAAAGTCTTGGAACTCACTGTAACTTCCACTGTAGCGTTCTGAAGGTCAGCAAAGAATAAAAGAGAAGATTCTATAAGGCTTTGTTGCCTTGACCACTGTGCAGAAAGCAGTAATGATGGGAATACAGCTGCCAGGTGCAGCTGTGCTGCCGTTTTCCTGGAATTTCTCTCTAAATAAATAGCTTACAAGGCTCTCTGAAGATAGCAGGGTCTGTTTAGGTGGAGCTTCAGGTGCCATGAGCCTCTTGCTCCTGATCTTGTTGAGGCTCTCCTATCAGAAAGTGACTAAGCCTGGAGTACATGGATCTCTAGAATTTGAGTCAACACATGGCTTAACATCAAGTGGGAGTTAGTAGACCCTTTTCTGCCACCTTCTTTCACTGATGTTGCAGTGTTTTGACTTAATATGGTCAGCTCTAGTGTGCCCCAAAGCACTATACTCTACATTTTATGAAGTCCTTATGGAGTTCCAGGCACTGTTGTTAAATACTTTAGATTGTATTGACTCATGGAAACACAGGGTGGAAGGTAAATGTTACCGTTAATTGATCCATAGAGTTATTGATACAAAATTTATACAATTTAGAGTCAGGTGGAAAGAATAAAGTGATTCTTGCATTTCAGAGATTTACAGCAATCCACTTAAGGAAGCAAGGCATGTATTTGAAAAGCAAATGCTAACTATAGGGTGGAACTTGTAAGGAATCATTGGATTCAGAGAATGGGTTAGATTTCTTTTGTCAGATGTCTCTTTGGAGGACATTGCCACAGTTGGGTTTTAAGGAAGATTTCAGTTTTAGGTACAGAGAGTCAAGAGAGAGAAGGCTATCATGGATAGGTTAACTGGGAGACAGGCTTTCGGAGTGGAGGAAAGGCTGAGAAATAAATAGTGAGATCGGACATTACTAGGCGAAAACACTTTAAGGAGCAGGAGTTCCATGAGGAAGGCCACGAGTATCATCTAAACCCTTGAGAGTCAGCACCAGATGGAATGTATGGTAACTTAGTGATACATAGCAGCCTCTTTACCAATGGTTTCTGCATGCTAGCTGCATTCCACACTAAGATTCAAGGTGACTTAGCTCTTGGATGACCAAGAGAGTCACAAAGATTCTAGAATATCCCAACCATCTCCCAGCCAGTGGCAATCATGGTTAGAAACTTATAACCTCTTCTTCATTGCTTTTCACATCATACATAATGAATAATTTTCAGGGAAGATGCTCTCCACCAATAAAGGTCACAAATCACAAGGATTGCATCTCTAAAGACTAAACTGCTTAGTACCAGAACCATATTTGGCAGGGTTATTTATCAATTCAGTCAAACATTTAAGCATTTGCTTGGTACTAGATCCTATGCCCACCACCAAAGGAAGTCACAGTGGTGAACAAGCATAGGGCAAAACTCTCAGAGGTTTATTAGAGTCTCAAGGGACAAAAAAAAAAAAAAAAAAGACTAAGCTGGTGATTTTAAAATAGATTGACAAGTGTCATGTTGGATAATGTGATCAGCAGTCTTCATTTGGCTAGGATAGTCCCAATTTAGATGATAATTTGTAGTACTTAAGTATGACAAATAGGACCTACACAAAAAGGGTAGGTGTCTTATAGACAGGGAGTGGTGTCAGCTCAGGGGGAGCTCTGTGGAAGAAATGAGCTGGCTGATACCCTCAGAGTAAATAGGGAGATGATGGATTTCATGGGAGGAAGTAGTGGTCAGGAGGTAGCATGGTGAAGATCCCAGACAATATTTGTAAAAGAAGTGAACTAATTAGTAAACAGACATTGAAAAGAGAAAGTCCAGGTCTTTGTTCATTTATATTCTAAAACCTCCTGGAAAAAATATGCAATGGTGCATCTGTGATCATCTGACATGTATGCATGGCAGCAATTCAATCTTAAAAACAAAAAATTTCAAAAAGTAGACTTTTATCCTATAGCCAAGATATAGGTGACTTTTGTGTGTCTTCACTATAAAAGGCCCCTTCCAGAGGCTGGAGATTGAAAAAGACCCAAATCCCATTTAATTGGCCCTTTCTTTCTTCTGAGACAATTATTTTTCAGTTATACTATTCCAATTCATTTCGTCAACTTCATTGAGAAATAATCTTTTTTTCTGTGTGTGCATGTGTGTGTGTGTGTGTGTGTGTGTGTGTGTGTGTGTGTGTGTGTGTGTGATGTGTGATGTGCATGGTTGAACCACTCAAGGATGTATGTGCAGTCACTTATGTGGACATCAGAGGAAGATGTCAGGTGTCTTTCTCTGCAGCACTCTGTATTGCTTCCTTGAGACTGGGTCTCTCAATAAACTTGATTAGGCTGCCTGGCCATCAAGGTCTTGGGATCTACTTTTCTCTGCCAACCTGTGCTGAGCTTACAGGTACACAGGGCCATGCCCAGGTTTATAAAAATTTGGGTGCTGGAGGTTTGAACTCAGTTCCTCTTGTCTTCACAGCAGGTGCTCTCATCCGAAACTCATCTCTGTGCATATGGACTAATGGAGTTTGGGAAACTGGTGATAGAGACCTCTTACCCTCACTTTGTCTTATTATTAACCTTGTCACCAAATGTATCTTTTTCAGTTCACCTTTCTTCGTCATTTAAATTATTTACCTATAGATTTTCTGTCAACGATCAGTTTTACAATCTATTTTAATATCTTGCTTTTTTGATGTTTAGGACCTGCAGAATTATTGGATATGGCAGACAGTGAAACGTGAGTGTTGCCTTTCATTATATAGTCTAAACAGTTGTATTCAAAGCATATCCAGTCTATGAGGCATATCAGTTTTAATTTCACTGGTTAAAAACCCACTTTGAACTGTATTAATGCTTGTGCAGAGGTAATCTGCTGCATAAAACAACACAACGAAAAACATTTGTATCGTGATGATTATATGCATAGTCCATGCAAACACTATCATTACCGATAGCACCCTACCAGCAAGATACTTTTACGCTGGGACTTGGACTGCTGACAATAAATAAGTGTACGTATCTTTATCTTTACCATAAGCAGCGTGTTTTCTCAGCTGGGATTTGTGAGAAAGTAAAGCACCCATGCCTCACGACATCTGCTTCATGTAATGGTGCAAGGTCTGTTAGTCAGTCTGTGATGGAACAAACTGCATACCACCCAATGGAGAACTGGAAACACAGTTACTCAAGCAGTTAGAAGTTCTTGGATGGTCCCTCAACTGAAAATTTTTGTTTTCATCTTTCTTATTCTTCTGGCATCCAAATAACTACTTTTCCACTAACAGGAATAAGGAAAAGATGAATAATTAACTTTGAAAGCCATATGGGGACCAACATGGATTTTTAAAGAAGTCAAACAAAGGATAAAGATGAGGGGGTTCAGAGAGTAGTTGGTAATCCAGGAGTAGACATGGGAATGGGTGGATAGAATAGAGGGAAATGAGAAGTGATATAGCTATGAGCTGCTGGACACAAAAACTCACCACTGATCCACAGAGATGGCATGGTTGTAAATGGGGCCACCATTCATTCTGGTGTGGCTTCTTCGTGGTTGGCATTTGATTTTCCATGAAATATGTTGGCATTAAGCATCTTTATGCCTGGGACTCAGAATGGCAATATCATCTTCACTTAGCCCACCTATCTAACAGACAAATTGGGGCAGGTCTGCTTTTCCTCTCCCTTCCTGCATAAACTGAGAAGCTGGTCTCAGGCGTGTTGTCTGCTTGGGAGAATCAGGGCCTGTGAATTCTGCTGGAGTCCTTTCACCTGATAGATATAATCAATTATTTGCTGAATAGCAGGGAAGAAGTCAGCCTGGCTCTTCAAAGTTGGATTCTCAGGACAGACTCATGAAAGTCAGAATGGCTTCTACCATTTTGGAAGGACAGGACTGTGTGAGCTCCATGGAAATCCATCCATGCTCTGCCCATAGTGTGTGGACATATCTGTACAATTTTACTCAATATCTTTGAGTGTGTCCTAAATCCAATAGTAGTGATTTAAAAAATTATCACCAAGCCACATCCAGCTTAGACGAGTGGCTAAAGTTTGATGTTAGGTCTGTTAATGAGTAACTTGAGGGGTTTGCAGATACACCAGACCACAATTCCAGCACACATGTATTCTTCTGGCTTAGGCCTCAGCTACTTACAATGGAGGAGGCTAAAGAGCATACAGTGTCAGCAACTGGGCAGGAGAAGCAAGCCCCTTACCCTTCTGCTGCCTCTATCACCCATCTGTCTCCAACCCTTGCCTGGTTTCTTAATCTTTGATTTAGGGGCGACACCGCACTGCACAAGGCTGCCTGCCAACGGAACCGGGCTGTGTGCCAGCTTCTGGTGGACGCAGGAGCATCTCTGAGACAGACAGACTCCAAGGTAACAGGATGAGTGAGTGCAAGCATCCTCCCACTGTGAGAGATCGCAGGCACTATGGCCTCTCCTTGTGCCTGCAGCACAGGCATCCTTTCTGTGCTCATGGGAGGGCTGGAGCTTTGGAAAAAAGGAGGAAAAAATAGAGTGCTTCATTTAGAGAAACTGCAGTTTAAATGTAGAAGCACAAAGGGAGAGTGTGTGTTTGCCCTTGCTACTTTATAACCCTCTACACATGCTAAAGAAAGACGGGGGTTCATGGTGTTCTAAGGAAACACCAGAAGACAAGGAGTGGGGAAGTGAGACCCAGAGGATGGGGATGTAGTGGAGTGTCTTTAGAGTTCATCTTTACACAAAATCTATTCTAATTTAAAATCTATGATTTGCATTGTTCTACAAATGGATGCCAAGTGATTTTCTACTGGCTGACTCCCCATATGGGGTACCTTACGTTGAGATGATAATCTCTGTAGTGCTGATATATCCACATTACTCTGTATCTATTTATTTTAAGTGCATGTGTATATGTTTATGTGTGTGAGTGTTTGGATATGTATCATGTGTTCTAGGGCCTATTGAGGCTGAAAGAGGTGTCAGATTCCCTGGAAATGGAGTTACAGATGGTTGTGATTCACCATATGGGTGCTGAGAATTGAACCTGGGGCCTCTGCAAGAGTAGCGAGTCCTCTTAAGTGCTAAGCCATCTTCGCAACCACAGTGACCTTCAGTTTGTCAAAACTGTTCCATGTGTTTTCTTACATTATTCCATAAGGGCCAACTGTAGAAGTCAGAATGAAAACTACTATTATTGACAGGCCTGGGAGCAGAAAGCCAGAGAAAGAAAAGCTGTTGCAGTATTAACTCTGTTGACTTATAGCCTGATACTGTCTGGGCCAGACAGCCCTCCTCATTTGGTGACAGAATATCCCACTGCCTCAGTAGGACAATGAGTTGACAGCAAAGGGTAACAGAGTTCACTGCCCTATACCTTGATCACAAAGTGCCCATAGGTGGAGGGGGTACCAGGCAGAGTCCAGGAGAGCTACTTCCGGTGCCAACCTCAGCAGATTCAATTCACAGAGAACTGACAAGAGACAGAGTTGATGAATGGAGTACGGGGTCTTGTAACTCATGGGAGTTGACCAAAGACAGACAGAGGCAGACACACACACACACACACACAGAGAGAGAGAGAGAGAGAGAGAGAGAGAGAGAGAGAGAGAGAGAGGGAGGGAGGGAGAGAATACCAACCATAGGAGTCAGTCTTCCGTCCTGACAAGCACTTGGAGTTTTGAAGGACTTTGAGTAGACCGTGAGGAAAGGACCATCACTAACTGTATCTCTGTGTTTCAAAGAAGAATTTTAAGGTGTGGGTGAGGCTTTCATTAAATAGGAATAGCTTTTGAGCAAGTAACTATAGTTATCACACATACACATAGAACTTTGAAGCCTGATCATTGGAGTTACAAACTCCATTAGATTTGGAGAATCTACATTTGTACAGTTTGGGCCCTGGGCTTTTCTCGAAGGACAGCAAACCCAGCAACATAAGTCACCTTATGAATGGACCTCTCGTTCACTTATAAGCCAGCTACATGGCATGGAATTATCTGGCGACCCTTTGGCATTCCTGCTGTCTAGGTGCCTCAACTTCTCCCTAGGCCTATTAACCACACTTGAGCTACAGCTTATGTCTAGGTTATCTGTTACCTGTTTAGCTAAGCAGATGTAATTTTACAAACGACAGGTAAATGCTTAATGTGGCATCCTCCCCAGATGAAGTTTAACTGAAATGTTTCAATGTTTAACTGAATACATAAATGCTACCTTGTAGGCAGGGTTAATCCAGGCCACATGGGGAGAATTGGCTTGGCAAATGTGGTTCAGACCATAGTATGCTTGCTGCCCATTTATCACACAGGCTGGTCCTGTATACGGTTCAGATACTAAAAACAAAGACCAGAGAGACAAACTGAAACTCACGAGGTCTGTTCTGGGAACAGTTGTCTGCTGTTTTCTAAGTATCTTAGATAGATAGACTCGAGGTATTCAAGACTTCTTCCTGTTTTGAATTATGTAAATGTATTCTTTTTTCAAAATATAAGTAACTCTGGTTTTTATGATCATACACAGAAAACTGGAAATACAGAAAAGCACACAAGAAAAGCAAAGTCACTTGAAATCCCATCCCTTAGACCTAACTATGATTAAATTTAATCTCTGTTTACATGTTGGTATGTCTGCTTGGATCTCCTTTTTAAAAATCAGCTGGGGTCATTTGAGACAAGCTACTGAACATCATAACTTTTCATTCAAAATTATGTTCTATGGATCTTACAGCATACTAATATAGCTGTACCTCATTCGTTTTTCAGAACCCTTTCATCTTGCGGTTCTGTAACACGATGCCAGATTAAAGCCGAACATACTTGGGAATGGAACTGCTCCTAGCACTTTTAGGATAGAAGCAATATCCTAGGAGGTAGTAAGAATTCACTCTAACCCGCTCAGGTTCACTTCACCCCACTTTTCTGAATATTTGGAAGGCAGGGATGCCAACCTCTTCATTATAAAAGTAAAGGCAAGATGGTCTACTGTAATTGTGTAAAAATGTTGTAGGAACCCCAAGCTAGTGCCTTAGTACTAGGTACAAACTAAATGAATGAACTTTTAGCAAGGGGAGGGTTGAAACAAGCAAAGGAAGTACATTTTAGGTGATGTGGGAGTTATTGCTCTTCCCCTTGGCTCCTGCTATTTGGTTCCCAGTGTTTAGTAAAAAAGAGCCCTGAACTAGAAACATGAGGCTCCACTTCCCTATCTCAGTCAGCATTTCCTCTGTCTCCTTCTGAAAAGCGCTTGGCTTTCAAACTCCCTGCACATGGTTTCTCTCCTCAGTCTCAGGGAGACTCCAAGACTTCCTGTTGGCTGAACTGCGTCCTCTGCCATCGCCCTTTAATTTACCAGCACACATTTAGATGACCCTGATTATGGAAGCAGATAGATGTGAAAGCATCTCGTCAACTCTGAAGCATCAAACATGGAAGGATTCTTTGTAGTGACTCATCATTGGCTAGCCCATGTCTGTTATATATGGCTACCATCTCACCCTATTTGTTTTTCTCCTTGTATCTATAGGGAAAGACACCCCAAGAACGAGCACAGCAGGCTGGGGACCCAGATCTGGCTGCTTATTTAGAAAGCCGACAGAACTATAAGATCATTGGCCATGAGGATCTGGAAACTGCCGTTTGACCCTGGTTGACAGGCAAAAAGAACTCGAGCAAGCATATTGCCTACGCCCTCCCAGCCACTGGGCAGCTCCCCTGGAAGAAGCTAATGGAATCCATACCCGCCTCTCTCCTGCAAGGATCTATCTGAGACCACACTATCAGGTTTTAAGGGCTACCGGGATATACAACAGGACATGATAGCCCATTGAGAAAGAGGCAGGCTACCTGGAGATTTGTGGAGTACACGTTCCACAAAATTTGATCCTTATTGCTTCCAGCAAGTAGCATGAACTTCTGTGTTCACCTGTCTAATTTATTTTAACGATTCTGAGGATGTTCCCATAAATGGCACTGCTCCCTCCTCCCACTCTGCATTCATCCTTCGACAGTACCACGCAGCCCTACTGTAATCACCCATCAATTTAGAAAATACACTATCTCTTCTCTTTACTTTCAGTCTTCCAACCACAAGGTTGTCTGAAGGTCTTTGAAACCCTCCTGGATGTCTTGCAGAAATATATCTGTAAAACCACTCCATTTGCAGACTAAATAGACCAAGACTAGTTAGTGGCTTTGCATGCCTCCTACCCCCTCTGATTTTATCACATAGGAGCTGGGAAGTGCCACAGGGATGATGTCAACTTGTGTCCTCTGTCTCTGAGGTATGGTGAAGCAGCATGGGAGCTGTCTGTGCTTGAAGTACTGGAGAAAGGTTACCCAGGGGTCAGCCCAGGCAGTTGGGCTTTTGGTAATAGGAAGGACTGGTTCAGCTTGGGCTGTTTGTACAGCTCCGTACTGCCTATGTGTAGCCATCTTTGCCTTCTGCTGCAGTAGAGAAGAGCCAAGGAGTCAATGAAAGCCCATAGCTAGTTTACAGAGCCAGGTGATTCTAAGTGCTATTTCAAAGACAGGGTTGGACTTGTCTAGGACAGCAGTTATAGGGAACGGAACATTCAGATGTTTAATCCTAAACTTTTGAAAGTGGTAATAGAAAGAAGTCTGTCTTGAAAAAAATAGCAAAAATAAAAGTAGCATTGTACGTTACAACAATATACTTCAGAAGGAAAACAGCCTTTGGCATCGTGGGCTGAGGCTAATTATTACAGGCTCATGGATACAGTGGTGAAAGGGGGTTCATGTTTGTTTTTCTAAGAGTTCGGTTTTCATGATGTCAAGGAAGGCTTGACTCAAGGACAAAGCCTCATTTCACTAGTTCCATGGTCAGACTCTCAGAATGCCTGGCCCTTCCTAGTCTGTGCTTCACCTGTGATGTTTTAGGTTCTGAGGTCATGTCTGATGACCCTATTGTCCATGTATTTGGGGGAGTCAATCAACCCCTTTTCCCTACTTTATTTTCTCCTGTCACAGCTTCTTAATATAAGCTCCTGTGGCAGAAATACTTTATGAGATTGTCACTTCTGTTCAGGCTATGGATCTGGAGGGATCAGTTAATGAGAAGAAAACAAAATTGCTTTCTTTTCAAAACTCTCCTTGACCTAGGCGTGGGGCACAGACACAAGTTGTGTATCTGAGGGCTTTTGTTTCTGCTTCCTTGCATTTTTCTCTTGAGCACAGGAAAATATTTCCTGTGTTTCTGCATGTGACCTTTAATCTCACTGTCCAATGGGGACACCTCGTTCATCAGAATCGCATAGCATCATTTTGTAAGGACGGATATGATGTGCCATATTAAGTATGAGCAAGCTTTGAGAAGGTGGGGATTTCATTACCAGAGACTCCCTACAATCGTTTCAAGATCAAACTTGGCATCATTTCGAGCTGGGGGAATATGGGTTGGCTAGGAGTAACGTGTTTCTAGGCATCCATCTCAGAACTGGAACTCTCTCTTGGATTTTACAGGGAGGGAAAGCAGAGGGTCTGGACTAGATTGTTTCCAGGAGCTGAAGTCACTGGGTTTCTGTTAGGAGTGTTTCAGTTGTTGGGGCTGTCAAGGAAATATTGTGATGACAAATATAATCCCGAGAGCCGCCTGGAACCTGGCTTCGATTGGAGCCTTCCATCGCCTAGATTGAGCCAAACATTTGGCTCAGCAGTTGGTTATCCAGCTGGCCACTGCTGAGATACAGGACTGTATTTTCATCAACCACCGTCTCACATTTCTCTGAGAATGCTTCAAAACAGCCAGAGAAAATTTAGGAGAGAAGTGCCTATGGGCCAAATTCAATAACTCCAACTAAGGCACAAATCCCTGGCTTGAAAGTAGATGCAGAACTGACTACTGGGAGAATCCTGATGCTGTAGAAATTGCCACCCCTCTCCAAAAAGAAAAAAGAAAAAATAGATTCTACATGATTACAGAGGAGCAATATACATGATCCATCTCTGGAAAAAACAGCACCTCTAAGACTTGGGGTTTTAAAAAAAAATGTGAGCAGAAAAGTCACAGATTTCATGATTTCAGCATTAAGTCTACCTCCTGTAGGATATATTTTTTTAGTTACTTGTTGTGTGTGGTAATTGTGAGCATTAGAAAGACCTAAAGCCATGTGGTCCAGAATGCCTGCCTCTGCTTAAGTATCTAGTGTCTCATTAGTGAGCCAGCTGGAGGTATAGAAGAAAATGGTACAATCCTAGCCCCACAAACTTTCTTAGACATAAAAAATATGTACCTATGGGAAAAAAATCTTTATGCATTCCCTGGGGTTCTGTTATAAGAACAGCCAACCTAGCTGATTCTCCCGGATCTAGTCCCTTGTGCTGTAGAACTGTCTTCTTCGGAATTCCTCCTTAAATTAGGCTGGTGGAAGCATGAAAAATGAAGAGCTATCAAAGACAGAATCCTAGCGCTGTAATGGTAGTCATTTTTGTAACCTAGTCTCACACAGACTGTGAAGCATTAGCTCAATCCTTGCCCCTACCACATTCAGCAACAGAGACCAGGAGAGAATTAGTTAGCCTGGAAGGCTAACTAGTGTGACTGGGAATCTTGCCTTGAGATTTCTGGTCACCCCCATAGAGGTGTTGACTGAAACCCAGTAGGAGTTCTAAAGCAGAACTCAGCCACAGTGACATTAGTAAGAACTGGTGGAAGGCCCCTGTGCCCTGCTGCTGTCTTTGTCAGAAACTGACCAGGCAGATTTGCCTGGGCTCTGAGATGCTCAACAGGGCATTACTTTTCACTGGGACCTGCAGAGACTCCTTTGCCTAATGGATCTCTGAAATGCATTTGCTAGAATCCCTAGGATATTTATGTCTAAGAAAATAAGGGGTGGAAGTAACATTTTCCCACACATCAACTGTATGAGCACACTTTTTAGTTATGGAAGTAGCACATGTATTTTATAAAATTTCTATCTAACTCCACAGGAAGTACCACTTGCAGCATGAAGGGACCCTCTGCTGGTGCATTTCAGTACCCAGCAAGAAACATTGTCAATGTGGACAAATATGATTGCTTGTATGTTATGTCAGAAATATCCTGATCATATACACACATATCTGTACATGTACACACATATCCATCCATATCTAAATAGAAATGTATTTATTTGTATACATATATGCCGTATTCACATATTGCATATGTTTAGAAAAGAAGACATTTTAAAAGCATGCAAATCATCTTTATGTGCTTAGTTAACTAATAGATGACGATTGGTACAGTAACAGAATTTCATTTAACTGTTATTTCCTCCATCCCTGAGCTGACTTCTATCTCTGCATCAGTGTAGTTGTACATGACATTGGCTATTGTCAGAGTCATACATTCCATGATCAATAAGTCTTTTGATTATTTATATGTTGCCTTCCATGATGCATGGAACCAACCTTAGCTTGTCTACTTTGGGATCTCAAGGGAGTAAAGGAGAATTCTTTCTTCTATGATCCCCTGGCTGCTTTAAAGCTGAGTTGGTAAGATCAGCACCTAGTCGGCTTTCTGAGGTTATTTAACTAGGGCAAGCTATTGTCAGGAAGGGGTAGATGGTTGGGTGTGGTCTGGGGGTTGGAGCAGCTTGTCTTCCAGTAGGAGAAGCTAATTAAATCATTGAGCACAGCATGCTGTTTTATTCAGTTTTGCTCTTTAAAAGTAAAAATAGAATTTTGTTAAAATGGCTCATCATAACCCCCAACTAAGACTGCTAATTGTTCTGGTGCAAAACCAAATTATGTTCATGTTAGGAAAAGAAAGACCGTGTATTAAATTAGCTATCTGAACACACTGTAATAAGTATTTAGTATAAACTCCTTTCTGCCCACATCTCAAAAAACACTGGCTTTCAATCTCTTGGTGCTTCTCGGCACTGAACTCCACATTCAGCTGATAAAATGTCCTCTTTCTGTGTTCCAGTCATTTCTCATTTTCTATCCCCTAGTTCTCTGGTTGTGCCAACAGTTCTGGCACTCCTGTCTATCGCTTTGTTTCACAGCTGCCTAAATCTTCCCCAGATGTTATGATTGAAATATATCAACATGAAATGTCCCTCTGGGGCAAGTACCCATGTTGCCCAAAGGACAGGTACATGGCTACTGACCTTGGCCATCTTACAGAATTATGACAAGTTGATTCTTAGAAGCAGTCTGTGAGGTTTAGTTTATTTTATGTTCTAGTCACTTGAGAGGTCACAATCATAGATATTTCTTCCATTTCAAATGGTGTAAGTGACATGTGCTTTTAACATTACCCAGAGGACAGGATTATACATGGGTTATACTTGTTGAAGGGCTTCTGTGGCTTTTTTAAGGTTGTTAATGCCATTTCATGAGAAACCTAAAAACAGAAATATGAAAAAATATACCACACTGGACAACCCACTCATCCAGAAGATTGAAAAGCATTATTCTTGTCCCAAAGAAGAAACAGAGAATGATCATAAAGCTATTAAAGCAAATACTTTACAGCAGAAATTTGAATGTTGGATGATGTGTTCCTCCAGGAAGTTTTTATTATACATACATTCAATCATGCTTATCCAATAATATACTCAAAAACCCATCATATTTGCAAGTATTTCAAAGTTTCTTTCAAAAGATTTATCACTCACTGTGATGTAGACACCACAG